AAATCTCATAGCAGAAATTCGGGATAAGTCGTAATCCTTAAGTCTCGAATTGTGGAATCAGTGTCCCTTTGTATTAATGTAACGTTATAATTCTAATCAAAAGATAAAGGTTACTGTAATCCTTAGAAATTTATTTGTCTTTGAAAATTAACAGGGGCAGACAACAGCAACAACAACGTATGTTGCACTGCCACTCTCTCTTGCTCGTCACCACTACACAGAAGACAGGCGTAAACAGAAAACAATTCCGCAATTCAACTAATGAATGTGAGTGCGGGAGCCCGGGTAGGAAGGGGAGGAGTATTTGAAAGAGGAGAGGACGTATATGCAGGGCAAATATCCTCTTTCTGTGCGTCCCGTCCTCCGTCGATTAAAGGTTGACAACGGATCTGCAATTGCGAATATTTGTGGGCAGCGGTCGCTTTGTTATTTTGGCGAATTCAGTTGGCAGCATGCTTTTTACCACCTTACGATATAAAAAACTATAATTAGGTGAAGGTTTACATGCAAAGTATGATGCACTATTTAATGTTGTAAGACATTAAATCAAATAATGTTAATGTATCTAATGCATATAAAACCTTAATTTGAAAGCGACATTGCAGTGAGGGACACAATCTTCATAATTTGTAATGGGCCATAAAATCTCAAATAACATCCGCCCTCGTCCCTGACCCACTTGTCATGCCTTTGCCAGCCGTCGTAAAGGCCTTCGTCATTTAAATGATGCCCTTTAAAATTTCGACCTTTAATAAAGCTACAATGTAATAGGATACAGATTGGAAAATAAACAACAGTCTATCAATTAACTAATTTACAGTTAAACCGTAGTTTTCGCACACGTGGATTAAGTAATGTAAATGTCAAATTAGACAAGACTTGTTTTCTTATAAACAACCAACACAACGAGCGACCTAGGCCTGTATCACACGAAGGGCTCACGTCCCTGTGTTTTAAATAAAAATAGGCATCGGAAATGTGAGTGATAGAAAACATATTTTTGGTCAAAGGATTTAAAAAAATTTACTGGATTAAATTAGAATAACGACCTCTAATAGCAGTGTAGACAACAATTTCATTACTTTTTTCTTCACATTGGTTTAGTGGTCAATTCACAAAAGAGATGTCGCTAGATGTCTGATTCACTTTAAAAGTCGAACAAAATGGTTTCATTTATTTTATTTAAATAGAAATAATAATGTAATTAATATTAATTAATTCTTTACAATAATTTAATTCATTATGTTTTCCATCTCGAGTTCACTTATGTCGTTCATTCCATTCATTCATCCAATTCACATATTGACGTCAGTCAATTGTGACGTCTTTCCTAAGTTCTAAGTTCTTCCATTCACTTAAGTTTTCCTTGGTTTTTCAGTGTTTTCAGTTTTGTTTGACCTAATCGATATTATGGAACATAAAAATGTTTGATTACTGGAAGAAAAGCTTTAGTTGTGGTACAATTTAGACAGAGTTTTAAAATGGATGAAGCTTGTGAATATGAAGGTGAAGGTGAGATACCGATCTGGCAGGAACCCCGATGTGAGCCACTCGGGGCTCCAAAAGAAAACCTGTGTGATGAGACCACGCCGGAACAACTGTCTGGTGATAGAATACACGCACTGGAAGAAGAGCAGGAGATTCTATCGTCGTCAGTTTTCTCTCTTACATCTCATCTTGCGCAAGTCGAGTTTCGTCTAAGACAGATACTAAAAGCACCACCGGAAGAAAAAGATTCTATGCTTCAAGCTCTCGAACAGTTTACATCTCGTGGTGTGCCAGATTCAAGAACCGCACCTCAAGGCAGCGCCGAAGAAATATCTTGTAATGAATGCGTAGAATTAGAGAGAAAAATGAAACGACAACGCGCAAAGCAGGCTCAGTTCGTTGAAAGACTCAAGTCACAACTAAAAGAACTTGAACGATTTGCAACAGACCCAAAGTCAGAGTCTGGTGATAGCACCCATAGGACTTTGATAGAACATTTGAGAAGTGAGATTGACCGCAGCCTTGAAGAAGGTTGTCATCAACCACTAAGTGCTGATGAATTAAGGCACCAAATAAACTGTGCAGTCAGACAATATGCTGACAAGCAACTGTCAAAAGAAGAAATTATTGGAAAACTACAAACTCATATTGAGGATATGCAAAAGTTTATAAAGTTAATAAAGAATGAAGATTTAAGCGCTAATGGAAAAACAAAACCTGAACCAAAAAAGGTTGGAAAATCTGAAGCATTTGAGAAAAATTTTGCTAGACACAGTGTCAATGATGAACTGAAGGCAGAAACAATTAACCTAATGAGGAAAGCTTCAACATTGATACAAATATTTACTGTGTCACAGTTTGGTTGTTCTCCAAACAGTCATAAGAAGTATGACAAGAGATCACCAAATGTTACCCACTGGGGTAACCTCAGGGCTAGGCTGGAGATGTCAATTGACGCTGTACTTCATTTAGTTTCTAGGGAGCGGCAGTCCAGCTCCATTATTGACAGCTATGATAGTGATTCTGAGGAAGGAGCTGTAATTATAAATGATGCACCATTGACTACTGCAGTTCGAAGACATTTAGCTATTAACTTGAGGGATTTACTTCAACATGGCCTCGTTGGACCAGACTCCACATCACTAGTGCCCATAATTGGCTGCTTCCCTGTCCGCAGGTCTTCCATGTCAAGGAATATACATATTTGGGAGCTTATTTTACGTTATTATGAACTGAATGATGGAGACAGATTCAATTCCACTCCTGCTAGGAAACTAAGTCAAAGCTTTAACTTAGATATAGTGGGAGGTACTGCTATTACAAATAAGCAAAGTTTATTAAGTAATGTAGGAAGCATAATAGCTTCTCATACGCCATATAAAAGGAGTTATGATGCACATTTCAAAGCATTTGTTTGCGCTGCATTAAATTCCCACAAGCTCGTAATGTGGCTCAACATTATGTTAAAAAGTAGATCTCTTATTGATTCATATTATTCTTCCACTAGCTACATAGTAAACACTGGTTTTCAGGATGCTTTGCAGAGCTTAGATCGTCTCACGCCTTACAATTTTGATTTGCCAGTTGATCTAGCCGTGAAGCAATTCCAAAATATCAAAGATGTATTTATGTAATTATAAGAGTACACTTTTTTACACAGTCCATATGCCCTCCAATTGTACTGTGCATTTATTCTGTAGATCTGTAATTAAACATTCTAGTCCACTTTAATGTAAGGTTTTGTTAGTTCTAAAATATTCAATATCCATCTAGTAAAGTCATTTATTTGATGTTCTCTTATAGTGTTGAAAACAAACCAAAGAACATGTTACAATCAAGGTCATATCAAAAACTGCCAATGTAATAAACAAAACTAACTAATAATTAATCTATTTCTGGTTCAAATATTTTCAAGGTTCAATTGAAAATTGTTTATATCAAAATATTAGCTTCAGTATCTCGCAATATTTAGGGATTTGCTGATTAAAAATTGCTTTGTAATTTTTTGATCACCTTACCAATTGGAACTTAGTTTTTGTTTTAGCTTCTTTCCCGATACAAAATAAGCAATTAAATGGTGCAGAAGCCGTTTGTTTACATGATTATCTTACAAATTACACTTTTATAATTAACCTTGTCTTCAATGAAATAGAGGTTTTATGTAAAGTTACATATTTATTGGTAATAGTCATTCCTATTTATTAATCATTTATTTACATTGGTAATAAATGTTAAATAGTTCACAGTGTTTATTAAATGTTACAATTATGTATGAAATTATATTATCATTGGATGTTAATTGGCCTAATATTTGTTTTGGCAGTTGACAAGTTAATTTGTGTTTACATTCCCATTATTTATTTTCTATACTTTTAGGTAATAAATGTATATTCATAATATTTAGATAATTCTATATGTAAAAACATAAATTACATAACCCTGTAAAATTTGTTTTCTATCAATAACTTGCCGAATTTGTAAACTACATTTCAAATAAATTTCTGGTCATTAAACCAAAGAATTTACAAAGTGTATTATAGTTTTAATGTATGAATATCGTAAATATAGTAGATGAAGCATGTTTATGTGTTTTAATTGTAACTCCTCTCGTCGAATTGGTTATAAAAGGGCATAGGAAGTGGGGGGTGCGGCATCTTTCCTAAAGAAAACATAAAACATTTCAATACTATCCTAAAGCTGGTTCATATGCATGGAAGTTTGGTTTGGAACCCGCAAACTATACTCTTTTGAACGTCCCTCGATTTAACGACGAACTCTTTAAAACGTCTAAATTGTTTGACTGGTTGGTTTATCTTGCTTTCTATATGTAAAATAACATAATAAAGTTTTAAAACCACCAATATATATCACAAAAATAAATTAATTTAATCAGATTTGGAGGTTAATTTGTTATGTAATAAAACATTTATCTGAATATCACTTTTTATTTAACAAACATTCTGCACAAAACATTACAAAAATAACTGCAATAATGAACAAAAATAAGACAAACATTCATGTTAATAAATAAACGCTTTTCATTATAATTAATTTTACATTTTACAATACATTTGCAGCAAATGCAGTCAGCTTTCAATGGTTGAATAATTTATTTTAATTTTCAATTGTGAAATATCATTTAATATTCTTTGTTTACCATTCTGAGTTTGAAATTCTTTCTTTATTAATGTCACATCTCAATAATTACAATATAACTTGTAATATTAATATAAGACTATATAAAATTACGGGACAATGTATAAAAATCTATTGCAATTTTATGCCATACCATTTTTATCATATTCACATACACATTTGACACATTGCGAATATACTCGATAAAATAATACAAAAAGGTATTATAAATACGGTTTTTCACAACCCTAATATAGTTAAGTAAATTAATGTATGACGACAAATGTTACCGACGTATTTTGTGGTGACGGCAAAAGTTGACGGTATATGTTGGTTGTGTCGGCAAAAGTTGACGGTGTATTTGTGGTGACGGCGTATTGTGGTGACGTCATTTGTTGCAGGATGTAGTGACGGCATGTGATGGTCTACTTGGGTCCGAGCATGTCCTCGGGACGCACCCACTTGTCGAACTGCTCAGCTGTGAGATGGCCAAGCTTGATGGCGGCGTCCTTTAGCGTCGTGCCCTCCTTGTGTGCGGTCTTAGCGATTGCCGCCGCCTGAAACCAACGCACATAATTAGTTATTAAAACTTCGCACTACACATATGAGAAAGGACATCAATCTGTCAAATAAGATTAGTACAAATTTTGACAGAAAAAATATTTTTTGAACTTAGGTATTAATTATAGGTATTATAATTAAGAAAGACACCAACTACCTATTTTTATTACATATATGACGTCACGGATGTCTTATGACGTCACGGATGTCTTATGACGTCACACAATAGAGCAGCTATACTAGTTTCACATGAGGGTTGATCAGTGAGGCAAATGGAGCAATAGCACAGTTAAGTAGTGCAATTGTTACTGTATTGTCTCAGCGTGTTCATATGATAGTTAACGATAGGTTCAAGGCAATATCAGTGAGAACGTTACCTTATCGTATCCGATGTGTGGGTTGAGCGCGGTGACCAACATAAGCGACTCGCGCATGATCTTGGCGATGTTGGCCTCGTTAGCTTTGATGCCCACTGCGCAGTTCTTGTTGAACGCCGTGCACCCGTCACCTGTGTAACAAAATATTTGTAAATTACAATATAATAATACTTTGAAAAAAAAAAGAATAATCGTATATTTCATACATTAAACCACTTTGGTAAAAAATTAACTTTAATTCAGTATTTAATTTTGCTTTTACTTTAATACGAAAGTATAAACCGACAAGGCTATCTGAACATGGAGGCATAAAAACTCAATTAAGACAGCACACTAGCGCCCCCTTGTCAACGTCAAAAAATGTCTCAAGATGGCTGTACTGTAGCTGTTGTGTTGTTGTGCTGATTTTTCTTTTATATAATGTAGTGAGTACTGACCGATGAGTCTAATAGATCGCAGCACGTTGGCGACCATCATGGGCTTGAAGACATTGAGCTCGAAGTGTCCGTTGGAGCCGCCGACTGTGCAGGCCACGTGGTTGCCCATCACCTGCGCCGCTATCATCGTCAGCGCCTCGCACTGCGTCGGGTTCACCTTGCCTGTATCACATCACATACATTTCTTTTTACAATTTAACAAATAATCTTGCTACTAATATTACAAATCCGGATATTTGGATTTAGGAAGCTTTGTTAGAAGGTATCTCCAGTACGGCTGCATGGATCTCGCTGAAATTCGGCATAGATGTAGAACATAACCTTGAATGTAGAACATAACGTGTGAAGTGCGACAACTAGTGTACCTTAAGTAGAAATCTCACCAGGCATGATGGAGGAGCCGGGTTCATTCTCAGGCAGCATGAGTTCACCAAGTCCGCAGCGCGGGCCGGACGCCAGAAGACGGATGTCGTTGGCGATCTTCATGAGGGAGACGGAGATGGTGTTGAGCGCTCCGGACACCTCCACCATTGCATCGTGACACGCCAGACCTTCGAACTTGTTGGGCGCCGTCTCGAATGGTATACCTGGTGAATAAAACATACACACATCACTATTTTTTTTTGTTTTAAAAGTTGGCAAAAGAGTGAGCGGCCACCTGATTTCGCTGAAATAGCGAAACTACTAGCGCCCAGACATGTGCAATCATTGTAGGTTAACTGAAAAAGCAGCTTTGATGCACTAACCGTGGATTTCTGAGTACGAAACGTATAAAACTTATCGTTATTAGCATTTTGGTCTCAGAAACCAGTTAAGCGTTTAATGGTTTCTTATACTTAAGATTCTATACACTAATTCGATTGAGTGAGAAATGTACACTTCAGGACGCAACATGACGGTCCTGATAGAAGACGCAAGAGTTACCAGTGAGGGAGGCGATCTCAGCGGCGCACTTCTCCGCGAAGCCGATGCGCGTGTTGAGTCCGGTGCCGACAGCGGTGCCGCCCAGCGCGAGGTAGTGCAGGCGCGGCAGAGTGGCGCACACCCGCTCGATACCGAACGTCAGCTGCGTCGAGTACGCGCTGAACTCCTGCCCCAGCGTCAGCGGCACCGCGTCCATCAAGTGCGTCCTGGTACATGGTACATGGTACATGGTACAGACATCGCTAAAACATCTAATCTTTTTTTATTCTATAAGTTGACAAAGGAGCAAACGGCCACTTGAATTCGCCGAAATAGCGACCACTACCCATAGACATCTTGTAATTACAGATACGTTGCCTACCTTTAATCGATGGAGGAGTGTCTTTCTGTGTGTCTCGCAAAGAGGACATTTCCCCTTCCCTTTTGTTACAAGGAAAGCATGGGAAGGGAAAGGGGACTAAAATCAAGTGCCTGGTACGTAAATTTCGACACACAAGAAAAGTATAAGATAGAAAATAAGGGAACAGCTAAACTCTTCACGTACCTGCCAATCTTAACGATCTTATCAAACTCCTTAGACTTGGCCTCGAGCGTGTCTCTGAGTGCGACGAGTCCGGGCATCAGCCTGTCGCGCAGCTCCATGGCGACGGCGACGTGCATAGCGGTGGGGTAAGTGTCGTTGGAGCTCTGAGACTTGTTCACGTGGTCGTTGGGGTGCACGGGGTCCTTGCTGCCGAGGGTACCGCCCAGGATCTGGATAGCTCGGTTGGCGATCACCTGGATAACCAAATTTCTATATAAGTTAAAAATAACTACCATTTCCTTCAAATTCCCGTTGAAATAAATGCGAATGTATGGATGGATGGATGGATAGATGTTTGTTAGATATCTTTAGACGGCTGCATAGATCACGTTTAAATTTAGCACAGTTGTAGAACATGATTATGTTCTACAACGACTGAAGAAGACACAAGCTAGCTTTTCTTTTAACTACGCGCAGATGGAGATAGCGAGTGACAGAGAAAAAATCCATTATTCTGTTGGTTTGTGCAGTTTAATTTTGAATACCTAAAAATCATTTCGATTGGTGTAAAGTTAACATACTTTCAAGTGTAATTAAAAAGAATAGAATTACATCTGGAATTCATCTGTGTATCTGAGAGATCTAACCGCTACTTTTAACGTCAAAATGGCGTTTATCAAATAGGCACAAAATCCCACAACTAGTTGCCTGTCCATATATAAAAGTTAGTTGTATAAGGTGCGGAGCTTGTGGTGTTACCTCGTTGGTATTCATGTTGGTCTGAGTGCCGGAGCCGGTCTGCCAGATGACGAGGGGGAAGTGTCCCTCGCGGTACAGCTTGCCAGATATCACGTCGTCCGCCGCCTGCATTATTGCCTCAGCTGGAAAGTGTACCATCGTATTTTACTATTTTATTTTTATATTAAAAGGTGACAAACGTGAAGGTTTAATTCACGGAGGGTAAGCACAGGAAGAGTAAATTTCAATAAGTTCAACCACACAGAAGACATGCGTGAAGTGGAAGCAATTCCGCAAATTTTCGTGATGAGTGTGCGTCCCGGAGGCCTAATTTAGTCCTCTTTCCCTTCCCACCCTTTTAAAATTACCTAATTTCTTATCAAGACCAAACTCCATGTTAACTTTGGCAGCAGCTTTCTTCAAAATGCCCATGGCTATGACGACAGGGTACTGTAAAATTCAAACAAAAAAATATTAGGTATAAAAATAAAACTCATAGTTGAAATTCATATAACTTAAAACTTAGTTAAGTTTTATAAGTTTTATCTATAGTGTAATGGTACACCAAGTTACGATAAATAAAGAGAAGGGTGCCAACTAACAAAACTATGTCATACGTGAGTTGAACTAAGGTCGAATAAGTTATTGCAAGCAAGTTGCACTCTCATTGACCTGATTGGGAATGCTTGCATTTAAATACATCCTATGACTAATCATTCAACTTTTAAACACAACATAAAGTACTACACGTGCGCAATAACATGATACCTAAGCAATATGACGGTGAAGCATTTATACAAAAATGAGCAAGCTTTGCTGCTTCAAACATTTGTATAAGTGAAATTTGAGTAACCTAGAGTCACGTTCAAGACGATTCATCGTACTTTGTTTTGAACGTGTTATTATTTCAAGAATGCAGCAGTCAAGTTCGCGACTTATATACAATTGTTTTTGGAAAATATTAGCAGATTTTTTTTAAAATTTATTGATATTTCTTGTACCATTCCAACTAAGCTCTTGGCTTGTGTTAGGATATGGTTTACGTCAATAGTTCGATAAGAAAATTATTAAAGACTTGTTTGTACTGCATCTTTTTGGCGGGTCAAGGCCCTACTCTGTTGTCCAGAGACTCCTACGATGGTTCGAGTTAGTGTTTTAAATTTATGTAATTTCTCCTTACCGGCATTCTTTCCTCAATACCACCAATGGGAAAGTTCATGATCGACCGCACAGTCTGAGCGCCATACAGCTTATCGTCAGGCACGTCCAATTCACCCATTGTGTCTTTCTCTTTCCTCTGAAAAAACAATATTTATTGAATGAAATAATGAGACAAATATATATAAGGTGAGTACTTGACGCGTAAATATGCTAAATTGTTAGCAAAACAATGACAAATAAACGTGACAATACAATAGGAATAGGTACTTATGTTTGTATTTAATAACGCCGTTGTGAACTTTAAAGAATCGGTTATTTTTTTTTATAGATTTTGCATTTTTACCTAAATACAATAGGTAAAAATCTAAATTATTCCACCGTTTTTTCTCAACTTTTGGTATATTTTTTAATTGTCATTATTTAATTATATATCGTGTGACCTTGTGGTGATATTATCGAATTTCGATAATGTTAGTTCCTGTCATGGAAATATTTGACCTGATTTTTTTCGTCTATTCAGGAGTACGGACTCCATTCTCTAACTTAAACTCAGTTTCCAAGGAATGTTTCTGTTTAGAGTCATTAAGCGTCTCTTTCTTAACCTTAGTAAATTACTAGTAAATGATTTTTTAGATTCGAACCCATGGACAACAAATTAAATAAACAATCAAAACAAAACACCATATCTTGATGTAAGCTCGATCGTATATAATTTACAATATTTATATTTTAAAGTTTTTAAATTAAATCATACAGTTGTACTAGTAATGCTTGCATAAGACGCAAAGATCATGTGTGTTAAATAATAATATATCGTTATTATATTTACACTGATAACCTTTCCATGACCAACAAAATAAAATTAACTACAATTATATGCCTTATGTTACAGCACTTAAAATCTAAAATTATATCTAAAACTGAGATATCATCGTTCTTAAGAATCGGCGATCGGTCAATGGCTTTACCTAATTACGTACATATTATTTGCTTACCATTTTCACGGGCTTGCCCTCCGGGTTCATACACGTAGTGCACGCCATTATTATATTATTTTATTCACAAAACTCAATCAAATTTGGATGAATAAAAACTGATAAAATTAACAAAAAACTCTTGCCCGAATGACAATTCGGTATTCAGCAGGTTATACGTCAGATTCGAAAAAGAATAAAGAAAAAACAAACACCGTGTAAGCGGCCAGTTCTTCTTTTACTTTTTAAATTGCCTGCTTTACGCGAGTGGCAGTAGCAAAATAACCGAACGTTTTTTGTTGACAAAACTTGAAGCCACGTTGCAGTTGGTAACAAATGAAACCAGTCGCGTCCCCTCTCTACGGTGTCGAGTCGAGACCGGCGCGCGCGCAATTTTATAACACGTTTATCTAAACATGCGGCTACACACTTCAAATGGCGTGGGAGTACTGATTTGAATGCGGTTAAAACATTCATCATACGATAACAATAGCGAAGTTATTTATTCAAACGATTGTAATAATTTGTTACCGGCTTCTGCTGTTACGTTACATCACGTGCTTTAAAGTGCCCCTAACAATTCTATTTAATATCAAAAGATTCTCTACAGCGTAGATTATAATTCTCCCCTATTGTAGACAATTGTTAATATCGCATAGGACATAAAATGCAATACACAAACAATCGGCTTACCGTATACCGTTGAACGTAAAGTTAACGTTTAAAATCCTCGAATGTTCTAGAACTAGAGACAATAATCAAGTAGTTGTTCAAATTCTTAAAAAAAAGGTACGTTTGAAGTAAAAAAACCGATCCAACCATAGACCAGGTTCTTCCATTTTGTAAGAAGTTGCGATCCGTTAAATTTGAAGAATTTGAATAAGATATGAAGTAGATGTCTATTGATTATGTGAGATAATTAAATAAAAATATAGGCTTGTATTTAGGCATAATGAAAAAATTCATATTACTAGGCTCAATACATATAAAGTGAATAGGTTGGTTTAATTTTAGTGCATTCATTGCTTTTATCATAATGTATGTTGTACCAACAGATTTAGGTGTTATTGTAAACATATTTTTCTTATAACATTGTTAATGTGAGATGAGTTAATTTTACTAAAGATTTAAGAACTCTTTATAACAGAATATCAATTTTATAAGAGCTTTATGAACAAAAACATTTTAATTGCAAGAGGTCGGAAACAAGTAAAAATTATTAAATTACATAAATTTACACCAATATCTGGTAGAAAAGGCTGCAGTAATAAATAGTTAATTTTTTTTAGTCTTACTTATATTATAAATGTAAAAGTTTAGATGGATGGATAGATGTTTGTAGGTATCTCCGGAACAGCTCCATGGATCTCGCTGAAATTTTGCATACATGTAGAATATAGTCTGGAAGAACACATAGGCTACTTATGTTTTTTTTTTTCAGGCGACAGCTTCTTTAAAGATAACAATAGTTAATAATTCACTACAATACCTTTGTTGATATAAAGCAAAAGAAAAACAATCTTTCAAATGATATGCATCTTGGAGACACAATTTACATAATTGTCATCTGTCACATAATATCTTCATTGTGTATAAGATTGTTTTAAGTTTACAATGTGTTATGAACAACATACAATTTAATTACTATTGTTCTATAGTTTTCATTTCTTGAATCTATAACTGCCCACTGGCACACTGTGCACGCCCCCTGCCCCACTATGGGTACAAAGGACTTTAAGTAAGTAGAAAAGAAATAAATAATTTCTTTCTTTTCTATGTGGCCTGACTGAAATGTATTGAAACTCCTTGGACAAGTTCTATAGTTTTACAATAATATTATCGAGTTATAATAATGAATAATAACAGTAGCTTTACTTGGTAATATAAAAGGTACATTATGCAGGTCACATATAAGTTCTGCATACATGGTTATCACCCATGTGTGATAGAAAGATAAAACCTTATTATGTGTGTGAATGTGTGTATATGAGAAAAAACTGTTATGTTTACTATAAAACTCAGTTAATCCTCTCCGTAATGCCTGAGTGTCTACATTGTTTGCATGGTTGAAATTTTGTTTTGTCACAATCTTCAAACTAATATATAGAAGTTAAATTTAGCTACTCAATGATTAATTAATTAATTTTCCTATGTAAATAAAACTCAATATTTTTTTTATAAACCACAGAGATGTTAAAGAGTTTAATGACATAAAAATTTAACAATTTAATTTTGTATTGAATTGTAGCTACTGTCATTTAAGATTTAATTTTTATACATGACTAAAAAATTATATCCAATCAAATAAATTGGCATTGTTTTTGCTAGTAATTTTTATTTAACTAAATCTACAAATATGGAATATATTAAGTTGCTTCTACAACAAACCGCAGTGCTATGTTGCATTGACAAATGGTGACATTGATGTTCACACAGATGATGTCATTGGATGAGTGTGATCCCTATATGAACTCTCCTTGTAAAAAAATCATTATTTTTACATATAGCTATTACAAAGGTTCAGGTTTAATGCTGTACAAATCTATAGTTTGATTTCTATCAACAGAAGCTTCCCGCTGTGACATTGTAAATAAATAAACTGTCAATAATCTTGTATTTTGTTAATGAAACTAAAATAGCAACATTTCACTGCCCATATTACATATGAGATCTGATTACAGTCTAACTGATTTACTTGTTTATAACATACTATTGACTATTAAGTTTGCAATGCTACTAATATGATATCCTAAATACAAGATTCACCCTAAAATGTGAAATTTTACTCCATTTTCCAAACTAATACGAATACCGAAATATTAAGATATTTAAACTTTATATGTTTTATTACTTATAATTTAAAAAAAGATATACCGGTTATGCAACTTACGAGTTTGATGTTTGTCGTAGAAAAATCATGTTTGTCCAGAAGACTGATGGCACCTCGAAGCTTCGTTGAAGAACGTGAAAGTGTAGCACAAATTTTAAACATGGACACAGCCATGATTTAAAAATTAAATTATTTAAGTCTAATCAAGTTTCTCTACCGAAGAAAATGACAGATGTGACAGATCATATGTCTATGTTTCATCGTTGAGTTTCACAACATTGCCAGTGTGTTTATATTTATCAAGTTTTTAAATATTAAAAACTTACGTTTTAACTGGGTTCCACTTTTAATTTTAGCACGCATGCACGTCATTGTTGAATGTTTGTATTCGCAATAAAGAAATAAAATTAATTTAATGTAAAAGTAAACCCCTCTAAAATAGAATGAATGCGTACATTTCCGAACGCTACACTCCCTCTGTCGGTTAAAATATGTACTATTTTCGACCCATCGGACGCGATCGGCTTTTCTCGGATCAGTCACGCCTAGACTCGTTCGAAAAGCGAAACCATAATCATTCCACGGCGATGTACGAAGACTGATGCTCATGTCGTGGTCTCTTTGTGCAAACGGGACATTTTATTCATTGGAACGGGCTTAGGTTATTCGACATAGTTATTTTATACAAATAATGTTGTGATAAAGACGGTCGCTTGTGGTGTTGTGTTATCGTTATAAATTATAGTGAGATAATTACAAAGAGAATATTGTGAAGTGCATTCTAGTGATTATTACAATATTTTCAACGCTCCTGGATACCAAAGGATTGTTTTTTGAGATCTTAGCATTACATAAGGTAAGTTCTAGTCTTGATAAAGTGTAATTCGTTCAACAGTGCGTGGCGTTTGGAATGGCTTCCGTCTATCGAATCGCGTGCGCGGTAATGGCTGACTTTCTTTTCCGTCCTACGTCAAAGAAATAGACCTATATAGCGTCCAAAAAATAATGTAATCATTTGTTTTTAGTGTTTGAAAAAATATGTGGTAGTAATTTTTTATGGCACGCGTGCATATATAGTATTACGTAGAGTGGGTGGATGCAGGGAATGCAATCAAGACTAAACGACCGGTCGCATTCGTACGGCGTAGTGTTGAGTCTCGCCTTTGGGGTTTTCGAATCGGATTATAAAGTTACAGAAAATTTTTATGCTTATGGTTTACATGGTTCTGATCAACCGTGTAATGTAACATTTTCATGTCGGCATAGTGAATTTTTAGTATTTAGTAAATAATAAAAATATTAGTCCTTTGCAACGTTTTTTTAATATTCAGAGTGAAATATTTTGGTCTCATTGTGTAAGATAACCCAAGAAGCATATTAAATTTGGGTTAGGGGATCGATCGAGCCCCAACGGGCTTTAAAATAGTAATATTTGTTGTTCCAGGTCTCAACAGGGAAACAAGGACGGTGTGGTGTACCCACATTATGAAAGTACGCTTCTATATACGCGTATGATCAAGTAGACCGTCATATCGAAGCCCGTCCGATCTAATTCCGTCATGGCTATCCTGTAAGTATAGAATCGATGTCGTCAATGTGTTTAGTTTTTTTTCGAATATTTAGTTCCATTTTTGTTATTTTTATTTCCCGTTGCGCCACCACGTTTGCTCCCCCGTATCGAACAGCATGCCAAGTATTTTGTGTTACTCCCCATTATAATGTTGAGGCTTTCGTCGGGTGTGTAAAAAATAAAGATACATTGCACTGGCCGGAGGCCGCCGAAACCCGTTCTTCCCCGTACTAACCTATATTTGTTCGCGTTTAATTTTCCGGATGCGTTATATTCTGATACGACCGTAATTGTCCCAGTAGTGCAAAGGTTAGTACAGAAGATAGAAGGACGGTGATTGGGCGTCCTTTCTCGATCTGATCGCACTGGCGCGCCGCGTCTGCACCAAGTCGCGTACGATGTAGGCGGTCGTGGGTTCAGGTCCGTGGCCGGCGGGGCGCCGTGCGATAGGAACGGACGGCTCTAGTGCGTGCGGCTGACGACTAGTTCACATCAGGCGGTTATGACCGCGCGATCACAGACCAACCATTACATTAATAACAAAGTACACAAGTCCTTGACACACTAGCGTTTATTTTATAACTTTTCTCTAAAAGTTAAATTCCTCCCAATTTATAATGTGAGAATGCAAGAAAGATGGTGGAAGAGTCGCGATTTGGTGTTGTCAACTTGATAGATAGTGGCGAGGTGAAGAACTCGCTCTGTTGTCGCCGCGTGATGTGAACTAGCCGTGACGTGTCGCGTTGCAGATGGGCGGGCGGGGAGCCGCGCGGACGGCGGCGGTAGGCGGGCGGCCCGATGCGCCCGCGTCATGTGGCGCGTGCTACTGGCCCTGGCGGCCCTCGGCGCCGCCGACGGCTCCCACGACGTCGTGCGCTCCTTCTCCGACCCTCTCGCCACGCCCTCGTCGCTCTTCAACCACCTGGTCGTCGATCGCAACACCGGCCGGGTCTACGTGGGTGCCGTCAACAGAATATACCAGCTGTCTCCCGACCTCGAGGTCGCCCAGTCGTTCGTCACTGGACCAGTCAACGATTCG